GGCTGGGTACGCCGGCGCAAAGTGTAAACAACAGAAGGTGAGGAACTTATAACATTTACACACTTTTATGAAAGACGAAATATACGTCCAACACAAACTGCATGTCTGCTCATTCTTTTTTATATTCTTATTCTATGTTAAACTCAGCCACACCATGGTAATATTCATAGTAAAAGTCAACTTGTGCGCCTATCCGTTTTCGTTTACTATTATTATTATGCTTATCGTTATGTTCGTTCTACTTGTTATTCACTAGTTGCGCCGATCTTTGTGTATAATTCTAGTTGTACCGCTCTGCAATTCCGTGACGTCGCCGTCGGGTTCCAGGGCGCCATAGTTGGCACTATGAAACTAGTTGCTCAGGAATTTTGTGGAAAACAATATTTGCAGCAGGCGAACTACGACTTTGGATATAAATTTCTTAGGTCTAAGGCATCTTGAATTGTTTAAGGTGGTACTGGACAAAGTGTCTATTTGACGCATACAGGTAACATTTCCGGTAGTTGTCCATGTTAAAGCTGTTTCACAGCCTACTTTACTAAGTTGCTGCCGTTGTTTTATCCCTGTATGCGTGCTATGCTTATGCTCTGTTTGTAAGCTTAACACGGCTGTCTCGCTAACCACCGATGGGGAGGTAGGCTCATGCCACTCGTTGGATGAGTCGAATTCAGCTTCCGGGAAGTCTAGCTGTTCAAGGCTACTCTCTGATTCGGCAAGCGGCATGCAGTGTGAGGCTGGCGCACGCTGGTATCAGGAAAGTTGTACTGGTATCCAAGCAGACCCCTGCAAGGTAATCACCAGGACGATTCGTCAACGGATGTGAAGTCCGTAAAAGGTGCACGTTCTGAAGGTTGAAACAACCGTAAAGTTCAATGTTGCAACATCCTGAAAGACAGTGTTTTCCAGTATACTGCAGCGGCCTCCCCAAAAAAGGATAAAGTAGGGAAGCCTTCGATGGAGCTGTTCGTGGGGAAGACGGGGTGAGGATGGGTGCGCTAGTTGCGTAGGCTTGAGTGGGAGCTTTCAAGGTATGTTGTGTATCGGAGTTCGCCGTGTCCAAGATTTTGTTATTTAGTATTTAGGATGATGGAGTTAATGAAAGTGCATCATCAGCGTGCCGTCGGGCAGGCTGGTCGGACTGCAAACAATGGCTAGTCTAGAAAAAGGCTGACAGGACCTTCCCTTTACTGCTGACCCGACGGAGCGCTTAGGTATCACCCACTTACCGCACTGCAGTCCATGGTCCTCGTCCCACGAAGAAATCTAGGCGTCCTCGTCAAATGAAGAAATCCGGCGTCCTCGTCAAATGAAGAAATCCGGCGTCCTCGTCGGCACCACCTAGCCAGGCGTTTGGGGTCCAACCCGTTGGTGCCTGCCTGCGGCCGAGGGTGGGTGCTTGTTCTTTGGGTCAGGAAAGGAGCCTTGGGTCTGTTGGTGAATCACCCAGGTGTTACATTTAACCGGTTGTCGAGTCACTCGAGGGTTGCCTTGTCCGTTCTTCTGGTTGGGTTTCAGGAAGGCAGAACTTAGAGCGGGTGGGCGAGGGGCGGCGAAATTGGCATGAAGTTGGAGAGAGTACATTGCACGCATGATACAAGCAAAAACACTTGTAAGTTTTCAAAATGCTTTGGATATTTTTGTCGATTTTTCGAAACGCTTGTGGATGAGATGCACGATTACAGCTTCGGAGGAAAATGCGGTTAATGGAAATAGCAAAAGTTTGCAACATCTGAATAACGGATCGGAGGTTTGACCTGTCTACTGCGTCGGTCGGTTGCTTGGGTTTGAGATGGGGTGGGTTGAGGGCTAATGAGAACAGAGGATTTCGGGACATCCAGTGCTTCGGAAATCACCGCAGGTGCGGGGGCTTGTTTGATAGCATCAGGATGGGTTACATGTGGCTCGTCAAAGAAAGCCACTTTGAGGCGTTCGATGGACACTGTTGTTCGGTGGCCATTCTGCCGTAAATCAAAATGTTTCGGATTCCCTTCCATAACTCTGAAAGGGCCAATGTAATGTGGCTTGGGAGGTCGCCGCACCGCGTCGGCGCGGAGGAAGATGTGAGTGCATGTAGCGAGTCCGCTGGGCATTTGCACACCACTAGTCTGTTCACGGAGCGGAATCGGGCGTAGTGAATGCATTCGTTGAACTAGGTAGGACGCAAAGTTAGCCGGAGGCAAACTCGACGATGCGGGTGGTGAAACGAATTCAACTGGCAACTTTAGCGTTGTGCCCTAAACCAGCTCTGCGCTTGCATATTGCAAGTCAGGATTGATACCGCTGCGAATGGCTAAGAGTACGAGCGAAATGTTGTCGCTCCAATTAGAATCGGAAAGGGCGCAGAGAGGGCCCTTAGCTGCCTATGGAAGCGTGCAACTAACCCGCCGACTGCTGGGTGACACGCAGTGGTATGGATGCGACGAGGGCTTAAAAGTTGCAGAAGGTATCGAATTGTGAGGATTCGAAAGGCGTTCCTCGATCAGTTGTAATATTGGATGGGCATCCGTAGTGCGAGAGCCACTGGTCTACGAAGGCGCGGATAACAGTATCGGCTGTGCAGTCTGTTACGGGATTGGCAGCTGGTCAGCTGATGAAGCGGTAGACCCCCGTAAGGATGGGTAAGAATCCGTTTGAAGTAGGAAAGGACCTACCTGGTCTGCGTGTACAGGCAATAAGAGAGTCCGGGGCAGGAAATGAACCAAGAAAACTGCGGGTATGGCGAGGTATTTTGTAACGCTGGTAATGAATACAGGTACGAGCACATGTACCAAGGCCTTTGTTTACGCTTGGCCAAACAACGATCGGTGACCTGTTTCTACAATGCACGAATACCGGAAGGTGACAGTAAGTGAAGTGCGTCAAAGACTGTGCGCCTGAAGGAAACAGGTCTGAGGCATCCAAGACAACCTGTGTAAGTGTCATAGAGAATGGTTCCTTCCGTGGTTTGGAGAGGAACAGGTTGCACTGAGGCGAAGTTGACTGCAGAGTGGGCTGTATGTCTTCGTCTTGAGCCTGAGTCGAAGCCACGGCTGCGAGGTCGATGGCAGGCACAGGCTGGTGTTTAAGGTCGACGCGGGAGATAGCATCGGCAACTGGATTGTCGACACTGGAGACCTGACGTATGTCAGCAGTGAACTGCGTGACAACGTCTGGGTGTCTCGTTTCTTCTGGTGACTATTGGTCGCAGGCAGCGCTTGAGGCGAATCCGAGGAGCTTGTGGTCAGGGCAGACCGTGAAAGCGAGGCCACCAAGTGTGTACCGGAAGAGACGACTGGTTAGGTAAATAGACAGCAGTTCTCTGCCAAACGTGCTGTAGCGGAATTCCGCTGGCTGCATGTCCTTGGGAAAGAACACAATGGGTTGTCATTGCATACCAACCTGTTGTTGGAGGACGGCTCCTACCGCGATGTACGAGACGTCAGTCCTAAGAGAATGGCCAACAGTCAATTCGGCAAAAGCGAGTGTTGCTCGCAGGTTTCAAAAGCACAGTTTTAAGGGCCACATCCATGAAGTAGCAAGCTCAGATTCAAAACCCAGCTCATGCACTCCACCCCTGACAAATGCAAACAAGGAGGAAAAAGTGGTGGTATTGTGCAGATCTTGGGAAGAGCAACACGCAAATATTTCCATACAAATACAGTCATCAAGCTCGGAATGACAGAGATCAATCGCAAAGTGGGCCGAAGTTAAACAGAGGTTGCGATTCTCGACAAAACCACACAGCATGTTCTCCAAATGCAGACAAAAGTTATTTTCATCTGTGCAAACATTTGCGAGCTCATCTCAGACGCGTAGGTTACAGGGCACATTCCACGAAATACTAAGCTCTGAGCCCCCACCCAGCTCAGGTTATGTCCACCTGGAGAGTCCAAATAAGCACGACAAGGTGGCGGCGGTGGTGGTGTGCTACTGTTGGGAAAAGCAACACCCATTACCGCTAACGTCGATGACACTTGCACATCAGATTGATATTAGGATAACTACTCGCGTGGACGGATACAAAAAGGAAACTAAATACGGACAGGGAAATACAACAGTAAGCTTGAAGATACCTGGTCGCGACAAAAGTCCCAGCCGAAAATTCAAAGAACTGCATTCAAGATACAATAGACAACGTATGTAAAATCGTGAGCACTACCCGGTACAGAAAAATGGAACATTATCCGAAACATGTCTTCAGGAAGAGAATTGGGGACAGTCTATCGATCGCCATGATCGCGAGTAAGTGTACGGATGATGCTCTACCATATACTAAGGCGCAGTGGCGTGTCTTCGTAAAGCGGATGGCGATGGTCGCAGATATGTCCGGAATATTTTCGTACATCAGCTAAGCAATTCGTTTGGGAGACGTAGTCCCAGAGGATAGCAGATCAGAGACATCCACAAGATTAGATATCGAACGTTATACCCTAAATCAGATGGACTGAGCTCCGTTGTAGTCTCCTGCATCAGCTCGGCCGTCCTGCATGGATGAAACTGATAGTAGGGAGTGCCAAGATGAGCATGCTCAATAGGGCTGAGTCCGAGAACCAATCCATTAAAATTTGGGTGCAAATTAGCTTCAGTTCGATTTAGAAAATAAATCAGGCTTTCCATGGACAAGCCGCGACCATCGCGGTCTTGTGACCGAATAAATAAAACAGGAACTTGATACGCATCACTGAACAGAATTCGATATTCCAGTACGACAGTGTTGTCTGAAGACAAATCTGAAGGAAACTTCCATTGGTCCAAGGACTGAAGAAACTTTCGGCAAACCATTTCAGTTGAGTTGGGATCAGTAAACGTTTCGATTGACCATAAATCTTCCGGTACAGTGTAAGATTGAAGAGATGGGAGTAGGTCATGCAGGGCAGAGGTAAAGTCCAAATAAGAGATGAAACAAGCATTTACCCTGTTAAAGAGAAAAGAAGAAAGGTAACAACAGTACATCCGTACGCCACAACGACCCTTCGCTGCGACGCGACGCGACGACTCGCGACCAGTAGTGCGAGACCTAATAATACAGTAAGGTCACCTGCACCTAGGCAATTCCGGACAGGTGACCTTCGTGTTACAATGTAGACGCAAAGACAATTGCCACAATATTCAGATTGAGTAGAAACCATAGAGAACAATTATGTAACCCATGAACAACCAATGAAGATCGACAAAAATATTATCAGTACGGTGGATCTAACTGGTTAGGGGGGCTGCATCCAGCTGCATAAGCGGTGGAATTGGGGAAAAGTAAAGTTCTACCGAGTAACATTTGACAGCAACGGTTAGTAGGTTAGTGCCTCTGGATGACATGAAGATTAATGTTAAGAAAAATCACGATGCCTTATGGGACAAAATGGGATGTTCCTATGAAATAACCAGAGAAGAATTATCGACAGTCTTTAAAAAAGAAATGAGGGAGCAAAAGGTTAACAAAGGTGCTATATCCATGTACTAACTTGGTCTGGGCATACCGGGAAATTATGAGTAAATCAGCCGGATCACACTGGGATACGGTCCGCCAACATGTAGGGAGTCCTAGAATGAAGTTGTCTGTCATCACCAGACAGCAGAACTTATGTAAGTCATTTCACTATAGTAGTCTGATAACTATGCGACCATAAGTCTTAGTCAAACCGGAACGAAGTATGCAAAAATGAATATGGTTGGGTTCATGTACATGTAATGCCTACACACATGTTAAAACAGTAGCAGCAGTGGGTAGACCATCCGTCAGGATCTAGACACCGCCAACCACCACCACCGCCAGCGCACCATAGGCTCCCCGCCATATATATATATATATATATATATATATATATATATATATATATATATATGGATGGTGTTGGGTAAGTTTAGTTTTAAGAGTAAGTTTGTAAGTATAATTGAATGTCTACACAGTGGTACGCGAACGAGGGTGCAGTTGAGTGGACAAACCTCAGATAACTTTGCAGTTCTCTGGTGTGAAGCAAGGCTGTGTCGTAGATCTTGTCCCGTTTAATACATATTTTCATGCAATGTTGTCCTGTGCTTTTGAATCGTCTTGTGCTTAAGGTGTTCGTGTGGAGCACCGTATTGATGGTGAGTTGCTGAACATCCGTCGTTTCGGTGCGAGAACTCTAGTCTGTGAGACAACTATCCGTATGTTGCTGTTTGCTGACGACTGTGCGTTGTTTGCACACAGCGCGGATGAGTTGCAGCACATGACTAGTGCGCTGGCTTCGACAGCGGCCAAATTCGGGCTCACCATCAACACAAGCAAAACTGTCTATCTATTTCAGCCTTCACCGGAGGTGCAATCTTCAATATTGCCGCGAATCAGCAATGGTGCTGAAGTATTGGAAAGCACCTCCCACTCCTGCTACCTTGGAAGTGTGATATCGACTGATCAGTAGCTACACAGTGAGCTGCGTATCCGCGTTTCGAAGACAGCGGCGGTATTCTGGAAGCTAGAGTACCGAGTGTGGAACAACCATCAGCTTACCGTTGGTACGAAGCTGATGGTGTACAAATCCATGGTGCTGTCCGTTCTTCTATACAGCAGCGAAACGTGGGCGATGTACCGGCGGAATGTGCGATACCTCGTGCAGTTCCATCAACAGTGTTTGCGACGAATTTTGCGCATCAGATGGGGCGACGGAGTTCCTGACACGGAAGTGTTAAGACAAAGTGGGATGTATGCAGTGGACTGCATACTTTTACTGAGACACTTGAGGTGGCTCGGTCATGTGTGGCGTATGGATTCAGCGTGGATATCGAAACAACTCTTATACCGTCAGCTGAGTATTGGAAAGCGGCATGTAAGGAAACGAAAGTTACGTTTGCAGCACTTGATTAGACTGAGCCTCTCACGTTCTAATCTTGGTTGCAGGTCATGGGAATCGAAGGCGCTGGATCGGCGTGCATGGCGCGATCTGATCACGAAGGCAGTTGCTGAAGTGCGGAGAAAGACCTCATACATGCAGAGAAGAAGCGGCAAGCACCAATGGGTTGTATTCCATCGACATCGAGCGCATGGTGCTGTAGCACATGCGGTCGCGAGTGCCTGGCCTAGTGAGCCATGAGCGAGGCCACTCGGGACCACTACCGAAGCGACGACGGGTCCTGCAGAGAACGTAGACAGAACGGGCTCAGCGTTTGTAGGTACGCTGCATTCAATTTACTAACCACATGCTTGCATGCTAAGTCTATTGATTTCAAGTGGTAGGTTTGCAATCTGATCCTAATGCTTTGCTTTCTCACATAAATGTCCACCTATGTTCTCTTCTATAAACTTGCACACGTAGCTTAAGCCAATGGTAGTTAATTTCGATAACATTTTCGTGTTTGTGGCATTTCCGTAAAATATACTTTCTGACCTCGAGAAGTTATCTTGGATTCGTTTGTAAACAAATTATTTCATGTGCTCATTAAGTTGAGATTTATGTCACCGTTTCCTTATGCATTACCCGATTTATTTTATTTGTTATCTCTCACATTAGTGATTGGCTGTTGCTTGATATCCCCGGTGTGGCTGCGCTTGATGTGCATGTTGACAAGGTGCCTACCTGTCTATTACCCACTACCTCGTCCATACTGGCTCCAGGAGACAGTTGGTTGTTGCTGGAGGGGACGGGGTGCATGGTCCTTGTCGTCATGCTAGGCTCAAAGAGCGGTTCCATGCACTCAGTATGGAGCGGACTACGGTCAAGCCACCGCCTTGTGTGCGCTTGATTCCGCAAATACAGCGTGCTTGTGTTTGACTGTGAAGGAGTGTGGACCGGCTCCAATGATGAAACGTGCCTCCTATTCACATACCTCCCGGTCATATTTCTTCGGACTTACGCTGGACATGGGGTGTGTGGATGGAGATGTCGGTAGTGCAGCACAAGTCAACCATGGTCCCTCTGTAGGCGCAGGCGTCTGGTGGCTGGCCACAATGACAGGCAAATCCGAAACCAGATGCCGCCAACGATATATATCCCCACGGGCTGTGGACATGTCTGTGATCCAAAGAGAAGCAAAAACGATACTCAGATGCTGTATACCCTTATATTAGCCAACGGTATTTTATTCCTCTATATCCGAAAAGAGACATGAAAGTGACCCCGCGAGCCTCGCCAATGAAACGAGCAAGAAAGAAAAGCGGGGACTCGGTTGGATAAACGTTAATGAAAAGGTGAGGTTAAGTATAGAAGAGAAAAATAAGGTTCCGAGGCTAATTTATGTTTAAAACACATAGGAGTATACTCTTAAGGATAGCTGTAGGTATCCTATATTTTCTGGAAGTTGGGACGCTAATGTGGGACGCTTCGTGGCACAGTCCTATGCAAAATCGATGACCAGGTGTCCTAGCCGGGAGCTCCGTCAATCATCCATTATCAATACACGTTAGCCGAGGGTGAGAAACACACCTCAGCTAATATGCCGCAATACTAAAAGGGAAGACATTAAGCAATGTAGACAACAAAACTAGAAAAAAGTAACAATGCTAATATATTTGTATGGTTGTTGAAGAGGGAAGCTAAAGAGAAGGGGAGGGACAAAGGGACATACAACACAAACACCACTGAGGTCGATTCTTTGCCATGTCAACTAGTGTATCAGACCAAACGTGTTCATCATCCTTCGGTCCCCAGCCAGGCAGTCGGCAAACACCGACCGGCGCCAACTTCGAAGTGAGGGACTTCATTCCGCTCGACCAGGTCATCGCTTGGCCTCTCTCCTCTTCGTCCATCCAGATTCCGGAGCGAAAAAGCGCCCGTCGCGGGAGTCGGTGGGTTGGCGTGCGCAGCAGGTGACCCAGCCATTGGATCCTGGTTTGTGATAGAATGGAGCTGAGCAGTGCACTCGCTCTTCCTTCCCGTGGGGGCGCTGTACGCTACCGGGCGCGTCCCCAGGTTGCGGATTGGGGAATGTCTTCATTGTGGGGGTAACTGCGAATAAGTCTCGTCAGCCTTGCAGGCGAGGTGAATAAACAGTCGCGGAAATCAGCGGCAGCGTCTCAGAGCGTCGGAAGTTCTGGGCTGGTCACCTGGTTCTCCATCAAATACCACATGCGCTCATACGGCGCTGTGTCAAAGTCAATGTGACCACTCATTTCTGTAACCGGAGGTGTATTTAACGGAGGGCGGATGAACAACATTGCTGGCCACTGGCTTCTCTGTGGACTGCAATCGAACACAAAAAAGGCGAATGAGTCACGTGGCTGTCAACGGTCTTGGTTTATTGCCGCGCTGCTTTGCGGGTCAGGTCTTTATGACCAAAGGCTCGAGGTGGGGCCTCTTAAGTCAACCTCCTTCTTCGGCCTGGGCAACCGGAAAGCACAATGCCCACGTAACACATGGATCTTCGCATCCCGTCTCCTGGATCTTCCCTCTTATTGTCGCTATTACTCATGTTTTGTGGCACCCTGCAGCAAATACGCGACGCCAAACACGCTCGTCGCTCACGCGGTTCTATCAACAAACATGAACTAAGCGGCGAAGGCAGTGATGATCGAACGTAGCTGGCCCATTTATGTCTGTCGACTTCATGGACCAAATTTCACAATCACATAGGAGGGTTGAACAGATGACTGCATTATAAACTCTGCCCTTCAGAGCGAGAGTAATGTCGAGCGGGCGCCACAGATGGCGGAGATTAGTAAACGCACCTCGAGCTTTCGCTATACGGCTCCTGATCTCATCTTCCGTCCTACTGGCGCTGATATACCTGCCCAGATCCTTGAATTTCCCGACGACTTCTAATTTATCATCATCGAGGATCAGTGCAGGAGTAGGCCCCTGCCAATATTCGGAGAATAAGTTTGCACTTCGATGGTGCAAAGCAACTGACAACCAGAGCTAGTGTATCCAGTGCAGCCTGGCACCATTGGGAGCTGTCACAGATTATGGCAATATCGTCCGCATAATCCAAGTCAAGAAGTCACTGCACACCTTCTAGGTCGTGTCCAGCAAATGCTGTTCCAATGACTTCGTCAAGTACGAACTTAAAGAAAAAATGTGACAGCGGGCAACCTTGTCTCATACCGCTGAAGTTATTGAAGGGCGACGACAGCTTGCCGTAAATCCTCGCTCTGCCCGAGCTATGCGCGTATAGCACACGGATAATGTCTACATATTTCTCGAGCACACCTTTCCTTAGTAGACAGTCCCAAAGGGCACATCGATCAACAGAATCGAATGCCCCTTTGATGTCTAGAAACACGACTACGGTAGGTAGGCAATAAACATGGCGGTGCACCAACAACTGACCTAATGTGAAGAGGTGGTCGATGCAACCTCGATTTCGACGAAAGCAGGCTTGGTCACTGCGCATCTGGCTTTCACAAGTACCAGTCAATCTGTGGCGGGCGAGACGCGAGCACCTTAGAGGCAATGGAGATCAGACCGCTTCCTCTATGACTGTCGCATTCGGAAAGGCAGCATCCCTTGAAAATTGGAGCCTTGCTCATCAGGCGGTTAGGTAAGAACCAGGAACCCCCGACCCGGAAGAATATAACAGTGATAACTGTACTACCAGCCTTGATAGACCGAAACCATTAGGACGGGACCGACGTACTCACATAACGGGAAA